AAAGATGGTACAGCTCTGTGCTGAGCAAGATGTCTACAAGGAGGTTTGCTTTGGGAAGTGATTTCCTTATATCCTGACTGCTATTCTCAATCACTCATGGACCCTCAAAGCCTTTGGAGTCTGAAGACCACTGAATTACATCATAAAGATTCTTCTAATCTCAAGCTTCAAGATGGTTGCCTTGTTCTGCTATTTCATAGTGACTTCATCTTTCCCACTTAAATGAAATAACTTAAGGGCAGATTGTTTCGCTCATCTGAATCTCCCTCTGGGCCTAGTGTTATGTGAGACCTATTGAAGATCTTCCATCTAATCTGGTAATGTCATTGGAATTCTAGGATAGAGAAAGAGAGGCACTGGACCTGTCCTGGCAATGTGTTGCTGTCCACACACCACTTTCAGTTTCTTAAATGAGCTTTACAAGTAGCTGCATTGGGTCCAACATTATAATAGGCATGGGGAATCCAAAATAAGTAAGATGATGTGGTATCAAAGAAGTTTTCAATCCAATGGCAGGTGTTTGGGGTGGTAGGTGGTATTCCACAGTATAGGTGTTTCCCCATAGTGTGTGAGAACCCATATCAAATTGCAGCTTAGTCATATTTTGCACTCATTTGTAAACCAGAGAGACTCCAGAAGGAGAAGCTGTAGGCTAGGGAGATTGCTACAAGGTGCTTTCATGTTTCCAAATCTCTGGTTAGGGAACTGAGAGGGCACATGGCTCCGGCACCAGGTTTCTGGTCTACTGGGTCACTTCCTCCCGGGTTTTGTGCTTCCTTTTTATCCTCTTACAAGGAAATCTATAGTCTGTCTGGCATGCAAGGAAGTTTCTTTAGCTTGTCTTTATCCATGCTTATTGAGAAATTTTCTGTTAACTTGTTAGTAACAGCTGTTGAAATTCCAGTGGGGTCTATGGATGCACATTCACACACACAATAGAATTTATTTTATCATCCTGCTAACTCATTAACCTTTTCTTTCTCTTTCTTGAATACCATGTTCCTGGGTTAATGGGTTAAAAATAGACCTGGCGAGACCAGTGGTGCCTGATTGGAACAAGGCTGCCCTTTCCACGTGTCCAATCCACCGGCAATTTCAGACCACGAACATAAAATTGGGGCACACACTTTAGTATAGGAAAACACTGAATGCATAAAGGAACACATTCTTCACCTTGCCTTCCCCTTGGAAGAGAAATAAGGTATCAAGTTTAGCCGTAGACTCCTAAAAAAAGCAATAAACATCTAAATCTCAACCTCTTTTGGGTTGGACTGGGTAAGGTTCTACTAGAGATGATTTCTGTAAAAGGAAGCTAGCAAAAGAATCTAAAACTTGATCTGTTTGTTTGAGCTTTCTCTTTTTAATCCTAGACATAAATTCCACTCCTTTCTGCTCTGGAAAGATCTAGGTCCCATTAGCACCCTGGCTGAGAGCAACATTCTTTCTTTGGCCACAGGTTGCTGGAAAACCTTTTGGCAGGGGTGAAAAGAGTAGTAGTAGCAAGTAGGAAAAACGAATGACAGCTATGATTATAAACTATTACTTGCAATTGGGTGTGTTGCAGTGTATGAAGGTGTGAATGTGACAATTATCAGTGTAAGGCATGTATAAGAGTTTGGCAAAGTATGTATGGGTGTGTGCATGAGAGTGTGGGTTGCTATAAGCATTTTTGAACCAATGTGAGTAGATATGGGTCAATGGGATCATCTCAGTTGAGGGAATGTAGGTTAGTGTCAATGTGAGTATGTATCAGTGTCAATGTGTCCATCTGAGAGTCCAGGTAAGAGTCAATGGAAATTCAGGGGAATGTGCCAAGTGAGAGTCAGTGATTTATGCATCAATGACCGTGTGGGCATGTGGGTCAGTGTGAGCAAATGTATCAGTCAGTGTAAGGAAGGATATGACAGGATGACTGTGAGTCTGAGCGAGGGTCAGTCTATGTGGAATCAGTCACTGCCTCTGTGTGATTCATATGTGTATTCTTGTAAATTGACTGTGACAGTGTGAATTGTGTAGGTTGGTGTGGTGTTTGTCAAGGTGAATGCAGTCAGTGACTATGTCACTACATGTGTACTGGTAAGAATGTGTATAGCAATGTGAGTGAGGGTGTATCAATGTGAGAGTGGGAATGTGTAAGAATGTGAGTGTGTGGGAAGTGTGATTGTACTAGTGCAAATATGTGTGATGTATGAATGGGAGTTGGTGTATGAGAGAGTGTACTGTGAATGGACATGAGTGTCAGAGAGTATGGCTGTGTGTCCATGGGGATGTGTGGAAGGGTATGATTTTGAGTGTGCAGTTGTGAATGTGAGAATATGTGAAAATGTGAGAATGTAAGTATTCTGTGAAAATGTAAGAATATAACCCTAGGTGTGCAGTGTGACTATGTGTTCCTGTTAAATTTTGTGAGTATTGAATGTGAGTGTGCATATGTATGTACATGTTAGTGTATGTCAAGGTGACTGCAGCTGTGTGTATGTGTATGATTGAGAGAGTAGAGTGACACTGTCAGTGAAAATGGCTGAATTTATGAAAGTGAATGTGTTTGTGATTATATTTGATGAGCTTGGTGAAGAGTGCAATTATGCTTCCGTGGGAAAGTGAGTGTGTGAATGTGGATATGTATCAAAATAAGTGTGTTTCCATGTGTAAGCTTGATTATGTGTGAATATGACAGGATAGGGAGATTGTGCCAGTATTGATTATATAAGAGCATGTAACTCTGAGTGTAAGAATTCTAGAAAGTATTAAAGCTTAAATGGGAGAGATTGTTTTTATGGTGTGAGCATGTATAAATGGGAACATATGAGTTGGCATGCATATGTGTGTATTGCTGTGATGGGTTATAAGTTGTTTATATGTGTGAATGTGAGGAATAAATAGTGATACTGCAAATACATTGGAGTGACAGAAATTGTGTATATATCTATGAGAAACAAACAGAGGAAAGTCAATTTGTGCATAGAATGTATGTAATTGTGTAGAAATTTTAGGCTTAAGGGTGATTCTTTCATCTGTGTGCATGTGAATGTGAAAGTGTGAATGTGTATCAGAATATAAGAAAACATAAAGGTGTGAGTGAGAATATGAGAGTGGGTGTATGGCAAGAGTAAGTGTGTGTCAGTATGAAAATATGGATGTATAAATGTATGTATCAATGTGTGGCAGTAAGAATGTTCCTGTACGTAGTGGGTTTGTAAATATGATTGTGTGATGGTGGGGGATAAGTGAGATTATCACTATGAATGTGCCCAGTGTGAAAATTAAGTGTGAGTCAAGAAGCAAATATTGTGTGAATGTACGAGTATGTGAGTGTGCTTGTGAGGGTGTGTATGAGCACTGAAGGCTATTCAAATAATTTGTGATTCTGAGAAATTATCTAGGAAGTATCTCTTCCCAAAGTTCCATGTGTCCACTTACAGGCAAGTTACATAGCAACTCTCAACTTCTGTCTCCTCATGGGTAAAACAGTGATGATAATAGGTACCTTGAGATAGTATCACTTTTATAATCAGAAACAAATACAGTAACTATTAGAAAAACATACTACCTTGCAAAGTTACTGTAGAATCAAATTGTCTCACACAAGTAAAATGCCTAGTGTAGTGTTGGCAACAGTAGCTACTCAATAAATACAAGTCATTATTGCAGCTGTCATAGAACACCCAGGAAAGACCCATGAGCTTGCTTCTTAGTTTAGCCAGTTCTAGTTACCTTCTGTTGTTCAAGGTCTATAAAGGATCCTCTAGCAGAGCATCTCTAGAAAGTTGAATGCATCAGTATCGGCAAGGCTGTAATTTCATACCTTTAATTTCACAGCTGAAACTCTGGAGCTTCGCCTTCACGAGAAGGCATCACATAAACACCTGTTGCTGAGCTGCAGTTTTCCTTTGTCCTGTAGGGCCAGGACAGGCTCAGTTTGAAAGGGAATTAGATTGAATATTCCTTGTTTGTTTTTGTTTAGTTTGTTTTTCTCTTGGATGTGTTTTTTTAATTTTTATTTTGGTTGTTTGTTTTGACTTAGGCTACATGAGAGATGTTTAAGTAACTGACAAAGAGACAGACAGAAGACCAGATAGAGAGGCAGAGGGACAGTAAGATACAAACAGGTGTCTGGACTGCAGTGTATAGCAAAAGAAGGCCAGATGGAGAAGTCAACAAAGGAAGCTATAGCAGCTGCTTGAGAGGCTAAGAGACAGAGAGATGATCAGACAGGCCAAAAAACCTGAAAGTAGAGAGGAAGAGAGAGAGACCCAAATTGAAAAGCTGCTGGGGAGCTATCAGGCACTTGTGAAAGGCACTAGAAACCTGTGAGACCTAGTCCCTACTCTTGAAGAGCTTAAAGTCTAGTTTACCTGTCAAGATGAATACTGCAAAAACCATGCAAGAATGATTTCAAGCAGTAAAGAAACAAGAGCTGCACTACATGCTAGACTCGAGTGTTCTTGGAGAGTTGGGGAAGGAAATATTCCCCGGTTGGGTGGGAAGGCTAAAAGAAGTTTCTGGAAGATTTAAGTTAAGAACCTAGGATGATTGGGTTGGGGTTACACTTTAAATAAGCAGGTGAAATTAAGGTTTTGAGGTAGTAGAATTTATAGGAACCAATTGGTAAATTTGTGGCATGTGGCTGAAATGCCACTTTAGCATCAGGAAAGCAGGGGGAAAAGAAATGACAGCTTGATGGGAAGCAGGTCTGTGTTATACTAAAGCTCTCAGATGGATCTTGACATTAGTGAAGGACTTGGCAGTGACTGTGAGTGTGTTTCTCCCACTCCCCGTAGGATGTAGGTCAAGACTGTCATTCTCATATTAGAAATGGAGGAATCAAGAGATAAAGGGCAGCTATACTGGGCACAATTCCCCAGAAAGAAGGGGCCATGCCTTGGGGTCTAGCTGATGAGGCCTAGTCAGTGCCTTTAAAGTTGGGAGCTCTGGTGAAAAGGTGGCATTTACCTGGACTTAGAGATCCCTAACTCCCTACCCTGGAATCCATTACTCACCTCACACCACCACCGCTGCAGGACCTTAGCATGGGTGGGTGCTGCCCATGAGAAGAGGCCAGGCTGCCTTCAGCTCCGATGAACTCAGTGCTGGGTACACCAGCTGCCACAAGATGCAAGGACTCAGCTGCTCTTTCTTGGGGAAAACCTGCCAAAAGAAGCATTGTGGGGGAGCGGGAATATCTTTCCCCACCTGCTACTACTCCCTCATCCAACCCTCCAAACATCACATACACACTACAGTGAATTTCAGAAAATCCTTTCAAAAGGCAGAGAATCAGAGCAGTATAAAAAAACATTATTACATAAGGATGAATAAATCCAATGTGACAGATGTGAAATATTTGCATATTTACTGGAGGTAGCATAGTCCAGTGTACCATGGAAAACAGAGATGATAGCAAATTCAGGTGGGTTCTGAGGATACCTGAGCTTCCTGAAGACCTGGCACTGTTGTTCATTCCTCAACTCCAAGTCTCCACCTCCATTGCCATTTTCTTCTCTCAAAAACCTCCTTCACTACGGCGGGACATACTCTGAAGTCTCCTATATCATCTCACAGCTGCTGAGGGCCTCAGCCTCTGATCCTAATTGGAAATTCTCTTTGCCTTCTCCTATCTCCACCACAAGGATGTCTTTTACAATCTTCCCAAGATTTTTGTCTGGTAATATATACTGGGGTTGTTATTTTTATTTGGTCTGTGTGGCAATTTACCCTATCTTCCCCACAGAGGTTTCCATGTCCAACCATGAAAGACATGGAATCTCTTTAACCCCTCTCTTTTCTGCCTTTCCACACATTCACTTGAGCCTCTCAAGGGTTTAGCACTCTCAAGGAGACCAAACTTCCCTTGACAGGGCCCCAAGCTCTGCATTCCTTCTTACTCTGTCCCCCTTTCTTTCCACAGTGTGTGTCCTCAAAGAAAAGCAGCTCTTATATATAACCCCCAATAAAGCCAGATCCAGGTTAGCACATCTATTAGAGGACACCAGAATACACAGGGTTCTAAGCCAAAGCCAGGGATGGGTGGATAGATGGATGGTTGGTTGGATAGTTAAAGATGGAGATAGCTAAATTAGAGCCCCAGGGAGCCAAGAAAAGCCCCATGATTCCCAAGGTCACTTTCTTGAATAAGACCAAACCATATCCCAGGTCTTCCACTTGTTCCTGGCAATACTCCAGAGCATGCCTGTTCCCCAGAAGCCCTGGCATTCCCTTTGTGCTGCCCACATGCACACTCTAAAAAGCTTTCCCAAATCCCACCCACTTTGCAGCTGCGTGGTGTGCCTGCAGCCTCCCCCACTGCAGGAGCTCATCCTGCAAGGTAACGGTAGGGTGGGGATACAAGAGTGAGGGCTGTCAAAGCTCCAGAGAGGAGCGGGACTCAAAGAGGGCTCAAGAAGGATGGCCACAAAAACCCCTTGCCTACCCTCAGACCTAAGAGCTAGTCCCAGGGAGGCAGCATGCATCCATGGTGGTGGGGAACAGTGTTAGAAGACCTGGAGGAAGGGGGAAATGCATCAGCCTGTAATAACCAAGCACATTCAGGCTTCTGTGCAAGATCCAGGCCTGCCTCCACCTTCCCTCATTCACTTATTAACTCCATGTAGCTTGCCTCAAACCTACCAGTTGCACAGCTGGAGCCAGTGTAGGTGCCACTGGCAAGACACAGTACTCCACCTGGTGGCCACACTCCTCCTGTAGGCCTGGGGGTGTGACTTGTGTGAGAACATGGGGGTTGCTGCTCTCTTTACCATGTTGGATGCCTTGTGTGTTTATACCATGTTGGATATGTGCCGAATCATATCTATACTATGTTGTGTGTATATCAAGTCTGTATTATGTTGAGTACATGTGCAGTTATATTTATATCATGTTGTATATGTGTATCATGTCAGTACCACATTGTGTACATGCTGTAGGTCTGCACTGTGTTGTATGTGTGTTGCATATATTCCATGCTGTGCGTGTGTCTACCCTGTGGCTAATCCATATCATGTGTCATATGCTTATGCCACATTGTGTGTCTGTATCATGTTGTGTACCTATATTGCCTTGTGTGTTCACCTGTGGCTCAACCTCCTACCGGAGACTGAGGTAAGGATTAGCGCACACATCTTGTGCTTACTAGCACCCCAGGCTTGCTGCATTCCAGCTTCCTGCCAGCATCTCTGTATGGGGACTAGAGCTGCCACCTTGTTGGGTATGGGATGAGAGAAGCTACAGACAACCACTGACTCTACCACAGAGCTCTCCCATGGCAAGTGCTTGAACCAGCACAGAAGATAGGTGGGAAAGGAATTCTGGAGCTGTTTTCAGGCTCTAAGAAGGAAACTCGGCACTGGGGTGGTCAGGAGGGATGGATCCTTCTCTCAACTCCCAGCCCCATCCATATATGAGAAAGGCCTACAAGAAGCCACAGCTTCCTGAGTCTCTCTTTCAGGCCAGTTGGAAGGACTGGAGCCCTTCTCCACAGAGAGTAAGAGCTGCACAAGTGTTTAGCACTGCCACCAGAGCTGGGCTATAAGATGGAATGTATGGGGAGCTCTGCTAAAGGCTTCTCCATTAAGGTCACTAGAGGGCATGATTGTGCTGATTGTTAGGGGCATTTCTCTTGAGGGTTGCAGAATTCCCCAAAGTACCCCTGGCTCAGAGAGAGAGATGGGGGAGAAAGAAAGGAAAGGACCTAAACCCCAAGTCAGGCCCTTCATTCACCCTCACCCTAAGTCCTTCTGTTTTGAAACTCGGGGAGTCAGGGCCAGTAGTGAATCTCTGCATCCCCTACCTCTCACCATATAAGATCCCCATAGAGCTTTTTCTGTGCTTGGTTATAAAGTCCTTAGCAGATTCTCCACGTGGACTTCTCTTTTCTGTATTTTTCACCATTCACATGAAATAAAAGTATAGCCATACTGGTGAAGAGATGAAATGTGTGTAAGAGTTGCAGGTTTGTTTTGTACTGTTTCCCCTTAAATGGAAAGCATGCAGAAAAGAGTGTGATTTAGAAGGGGTAATTTTGGGGGAGAGGGCTGCCCTTTAGCAGGCCCGTCTTTATTGCCAAAAAATAAAAATAAAAAAATGGAATTCTGGAGCTGTTTTCAGGCTCTAAGAAGGAAAATCAGCACTGGGGTGGTAGGGGGGGATGGCTCCTTCTCTCAACTCCCAGCCCCATCCATATATGAGAAAGGCCTACAAGAAGCCACAGCTGCCTGAGTCTCTCCTAAAAGGTCACAACCATTTTAGAAAACACCTCCTCCAAACCTCATCATTTGAAAGACAAGGAAACTGAGGCCCAGAGAAGGGCACACACACTCACATCAGAATGCCTGACTTCTGATTCCCAGGGTTCATTCCACACCAGATCCTGATCCTCTAGTCCTTAAAAAACTTCCTTCTCCAAATCCAGTCCACCCTCACCACACAGCAAAACCCTAGCCTCCAACTCTACTGTGTGACCTCCAATACCATCTTATTCCATCTTAAGGATCAGCCTCCCAGGCCTCTCTGTGGCCACACTTTTGGAACGATTTCCATTCTCTACCAGCACATTGTTCATTTATTCCCAATCTTCAAGGTTCACCTCTCCTATTTTGCTTCCCACCTGCAGACCAAGAGATAGCTATGCCATTTTGCCCCACATCACATCCCCTGGGTGCAGCAAAGATTGTCCCAACCTGCAGATAACTGACTGAATGTGCAAATTAGATACGGATCCATTGCACTGATTAACATTTCCAATTAAACTCCCAGTTAGGCTGTGTATGTTAGTGGCTCCAGTAATGACCGAGTAAGTAAATGCGAATACCTTCCAAAGTCACAGAGTGAGAAACAAAGCAACACATTTCTGGGGGGAAATGGAAACAGGCTGCTAGTCCTGGGGGTTTACTTGGTTCTTTGTTACCCCCATATCAGATATTACATGTCTGGCTGTTACTGGTTCCCAGGCTAGGGCTTCTCAAGTGAAATGGAGGACTCAGGCCTTGAGCACCACTGCATGCCCTTTCTTGCCCCCTGCTGGAGAAGCCTCATAATAGTGCCTAGATGGCAGGGGAGCCCACTCCAGGCCCTGCAGAGGAAATAGCCTAGTTTCTGGCAGATGGAGAGGTTGAGGAAAAACAGAGCAGCTGAAGGAAGCTTAAGCTGAATCCCAGATGCCTTGACAGCTGCCCTTACCTTCTAAGATAGTTGTTTTCACCATCCCTTAGCCTGCACAGGGTCCCATGTTCTCTTGCTTGGGAATGAGGGCTTTAATTGTATTTATTAATTTTGTTTTGAGCATGGGCCTGGCACATCTCATGTAAAAGCAGTCAACCTACCTGTCTTGGACAGATTCAAAGCTTCTCCAATCCCCTTTGGGTCCCTGTCCCTCCACTCCCTCTCCTTACCCAGGAAGAAAGAGCTGGCTGTTGAGGCTGCCACTCATGGAGTTTCTTCTTCCCTTGACCAGAAGCAACTGGTTCCTGAAGATGGGTTACATGGGTGGGAATGCTATTGATTCCCTAAATATGGAGAAATTGTCCCTGTAAGTCTGGATTGAGCCACAGGTACCTCAACCACCAAATTCCCCATCCCACTATGGAAATTAGAGCTTTTGGGTTACTGGCAAGACTTTTTTTTCTTTTCTCGATCAATTTGTTCCTGGCTATTCCATCAGATCTTACCTACCTACTCTGATTTCTAGATCTATTTTTATTTATTTATTGCTTTTAGAGAGGGAGGGAGGGGGAGAGAGAGAGAGAGAGAGAGATGGATTTGTTGTTCTGCTTATTTATACATTCATTGGTTGACTCTTGTATGTGCCCTGACTGAGGATCGAACCTGCAACCTTGGCTTACCAGGATGAAGCTCCAACCAACCGAGCTTGCCATGGCTACTCACTTCAACCTCATAGTACCTTAGTCTCTGACCTCCTAATAGCAGAGCTTCTAATGGGGGCAGCACTTCCCCATCCATCCCTGAAGTTATTCTTCATTTCCCTAACCTGTCATGTCCACTGCTCTTCCCCCAAAGACCTCAGCAATCTTGTTTTCTCTGTATACGATTTCCACCTCCAATTAGAAAGTCTGCAGTCTGTGGGAATGGTCAGCTAGTTGGAACATCCTCCAGGGTATTGTGGTCCCTTGCCTGCACATCTATTACAGCTGAACTTCCTTTTTCTGTTAGGTCTCTCCTGCAGGCCCATTTGCCAGCTTGAAGGGTCTGGTCTTTGACATCTCAAGGTCCCTCTGTCCTCTTTCATGGGGGGGGGGTATGACATTTGTATCCAGAAACAGAGGTTGTCTCTCCAAGCCCTAACCTATTAATCATCCACTGCCATATTAAGTCCCTTTGCCCAAAGGTGCCTCTGATTAGGGGCTTTAAGTACCAAACCAAAGACCTACCCAATTATAATTTTGCAAATAGTCCAGTGAAAACTGCACTGACCTTTATACCTCGGTCATCTCAGGGCAGGGCCACAGTGTTATCACCAACAGGAATGGACCTCCTTCTGTTCCAACACCTCAGAAAGCCATACAGTTGGCCTGGATTTGAGTCTGCAAAACCATGAAGGGAGCAAGACTAACATGGCTAAAGGCTTCCCTGCTGAAAGCCAATTTTTAAAAATAGTGCTGCAACCACCCCTGCCATGCTTCCCCAAAGCCAAGCCACTCACCCTTCTCTCCTTTGCTTCTACAGACCATAGTCCAGAACCCTCAATTCCACAGTCTGGGACTGGATTCTGGAAGGTGGGACCAAAAACAAAACAAAACAAGTGGGGCTTCTGGCTCCCTCCCTCAGGCACTGCCTTCCTGCTGCTCCCCCACCCCACCCCTCAACCACCACCTAAGGAAGGAAAACCTGCTAAGAGCAAGGATCTAAAATGTTCAATCTGTCCAAAAATGTGACAGTAATCTTGCCAAATTCAGTTCAAAAACTAAGGGCAATGCACCCTGTGAGCTGAGGGGGACAGGGAGGGGAGAGCCAATGCACTTAATGACCACCTTCTCCAGACAAAGACAAAGGCCAACTGAGGGACCCCAGGCTTTTTCAGGACATTATTCCATAATTCCAAACCCCCCAGGAGAAGTGTCCTCCTGCCATGACCCTTCCCTCACCAAAAAAAGGACAAAGGGATAAAGAAAAATAATGAAAAAGGGGAAAGGTGCCCCTTTGAAAAATCGTCACTTTTTCTGTTTTTGTTCAGGTCAGATTCTTCCCCCTAACCGAGGCTTGCCAGGGCCGCCGCCACAACCCCCGCCCCCTCGTGGGTGGGGAGACTGCTGTCCCTGCAACAGTGGCTGCTGGAGGGGGCGGGTAGATGGCATAAGACTTACAGGCTGACGTAGCTTTTGGGGCGGATTTTGCCTCCAGCCTAGTATGGTTGTCTAGGGCTTGACCCAGCGAAGCTGCCCAAGCTCTCCCAGGAGGGCCCTGACACACCCACTTGTCCGCTTTCCCGATAGGGATCCTGCAAACTAAGCACTAAGTCTCAGGGCTCCAGGTAGCCACGTCGGGGACTCAAGGCTGGAAAGCCGCAAGAACCAGGGGCGGATCGGAGAAGGCAGAAAATCTGCCCAGCCGCGTAAAAGCAATGCCGAGCTGCCACCCGCTCCCCTCAACGAGCCAGGTGCCATAAGTAGCAGGATTTACCTGCCACTGGTCCAGCCACCCTGTCA